AAAATGTAATCAATCCAGAATGGCCTACCTCGAAGTCACACTCTGTCTCAGCCTAAAGTTTTCCACCCTGAACATGCTTAATAATAAGATCACTGGTGAATATGCAAAGGGACATAGCAGCAGTACTAGTTAGTCGTACCAGATGTTGATCCGCACTTATCATCACTTGATCATCACCTATACTTCTTAACTGAAAAATTTCCTTTCACTATACCACTATCAGCTGGTTATTTGTTTATCAGTCTAATGTCTGCCTTAATCTTTATCGCTTGACTACATAGTCATCAGCAACTGCGATGTTCACAGTGAACTCTAGACTCTGAGTACCTCCATTAATTTATACGGTTTCTAATTCATTTGTAGTCGGAAAATCATCAGCTTATCTGAGCTTTAGAATTCATCACCTTTCTGGGAGCTTCTTATTGTCTTTGAATAAAATGGAATCGGTTATCAAGGCGGTGGTTCATGTCATAGTCGTGTAATACGGTGAGCATTATATGAATTCGAATCACACTTCGTGTTTCAACAGGATTTATTCATTGCAAATCTTGTGGTGCCACTTACCATAAGAAATTCTAATAACCGATATTAAGGCATACGTATAGGAGGGACCACAATAAATGTGAAAAATGTAGCATATATACGTCTTATTATAGGAAGTTTCATCCGAATATATCATTCACTTCACTAAGTATAACAAAATTCTGTTTGAGAGAAAGTTTCCACAAATTCTAGCTATTAATGAGATCGATCAAGCACTACCAACAACTTAAACGAACATACCGTTGTTAGATCATTATTATTATTAATATCATTAAGAGGTATCATACAAATAATAGCAATAACTGTATTCATCGAAATGATACGTCATATGAGATAACTGTGTTTCAGTTATCTCTGAGTTGAGGAACGCTATTCTTGTGAACGCACTCATGTTTTCGACATTCTCCAGTCGATATGAAATACTATTATCGTTGGCAAAAAAAACTAATAAAAATTCATCAATATTTAAGTCTACATGATTTCATATTGTTCAGCTGACGTTAAACCTTCAAACTCTGTCAATAAAACGTTTCAGTGTCATTTATGAGCATTGCGCGAATAGGTGGGACGCTGCAGCTACTGGTGTACTTTAGACTTCTGTTCATATTCTGACACCAAATTGGTTGTTGTGGATAATCTCTGCTCCAGTTTGAGTGGTAAATTATTATTTGTCATCTCATATTTATTTCATACACTTTGTAAGTCGAAGGTGCGGATATTTTTTCTGAATGCCTGATTCTATCCCTATGACTGTAAGTGAAAATTTTCTGAAATGAGGGATGTATGCTCATGGGAAAAATTTTATTTATAAGTGAAGTGAGAGAAGGTCCATATTCACGTGATGATTCCTTCAAAGAGTTTCTGAAGAGACGAGTGCTCCGAAGAATGAAGTCGATCTTTTCAGAAACTCTCACTAACGAGTAGTAATAACAAAACAGTCAAAAATACAAACTTCTAAAATTAGAGTAGATTATCCTTCTCAATATCTTTAAATTTACGCCTGATATTGTATACTACTGATTGGCAGATATGAGTAGCTGAATGACATCTAAAGGAAATAGCAGAGTTCACCAGGCTGATTCTGAGTTTAAGTGTTTCAGTGTGATTTGTTTCTTTCAGCTTTGCTGAGCCAAGTACGCCACCAATGAACAGAGCCTGAAACGAGTTAGATGTTTTTTTCATTGTTTCAATCACTTTTATCTAACCGGCCAACGAGCACCACTGGTTCGTGTTAGTGGTGGCCATTCAGTCAATAATATTAAGTATCATCAATATAAGGTTTTTTTTTTTAATGAACATTTATGATATCCAGGTTACCATATACTGCGTTTGCCATAACTTCACTTTCTCAGGGCATCGGTGAAAAAATCATAACATTGAACTGTTTCATTACGAAACCGAGTACCTGATTTTTGAGTTTATCTGTACTACTTATATGTCCTGCTGAAGGAATGACTTGATCGACTCGATTTCGCAGTGAGTCAGCTCTGTTGCAGCTCATCCGTCAAATCTTACCACTCCAACCAATTCTGTCTATGCTCTTTTCATATGTATTACCGATAAGATTGTCCCATATTTTACAGCTTCAATTTAATTCCGTTCGCAGCACAACTCTACTTTTGCCTAATTAACGTTACAGGCTGGACTCTGCTGTAGATCCATATTAGTTTGTTTATTAGATATATCACACAGTGAAACAGTATTCTTTACTGGATGACGTTTCGAACAAAATTTATTGTTCATAATCATATGAATTGTAATCACACGACTTTGAAACTTGAGTTTTGTAGTTTCCTTTGTTCTCTCCTAGTTGTCGTAGCAGTAGTAGAATCTTCCAGATATCGGGGACATGTGATAAATCATTCCTTTTACATGTATTTGCAGTTGATTCGATAAACAAAGCTTCTGTTATCAATCTCTCCCTATTTTCTGTGATATTAGATTTTAAAACTGTCATTCTGTCTCACCTTATTGTATGAGTGTGTGTTACTGCATGTATTGCTATAGCTGAACTATTCTCTTGATTTCTTAACATATTTGGATCAACCAATCTAGATTTTGCTAATTTTTTTGTTCAGCTAGTCTGGTTGCCCCTGTTCTACTAGTTTGACCTATGTATTTGACCTAACAATCATTGCAGGGTATGAGATAAACTAAATTGCTTTGTTTTGAAGGCTCTGCGGGGTATTTTAACCAACAAAGCTTGTTTCAAATCGAGTTCAGCTATAACACTAAATGCAGTCACATACAACCATACAATAGGATGGGAGAGGATGACAGTTTTAAAATCAAATATCACAGAAAATAGGGAGAGATTGATAACAGAAGCTTTGTTTATCGAATCAACTGCAAATACATGTAAAAGGAATGATTTATCACATGTCCCCGATATCTGGAAGATTCAACTACTGCTACGACAACTAGGAGAGAACAAAGGAAACTACAAAACTCAAGTTTCAAAGTCGTGTGATTACAATTCATATGATTATGAACAATAAATTTTGTTCGAAACGTCATCCAGTAAAGAATACTGTTTCACTGTGTGATATATCTAATAAACAAACTAATATGGAATTACTTACTACCACATTACCCAAGTTTTGCACACATATTAATATACTGTAGATCTTTCTGCTAGGTTTTTTTAATAATTTGGAAAATATTTATCCGATTTGTCTTTCCTTCATTTATTGAGCAACACTAAAAGATCCTGAGTGTGAAAAAACAAAATAGTTCTAAAAGCTGATGTCATCAGAATAGTAATTTTGCTCGAAATATTTCCAAAAACAAAAACGTATCACTGTGTGTAAATTATAAAATACTATTACAGTTTATTTGACGTTTTCCACAAAACTCAAACCTTTTACTGATATTAGTGAGATCATGTGCAACAGTTAACAATCTGTCACGTATTCTGTGGATCTAAAAACGCCGAGATAATATCACCTGATTGCAGGGCAAGCCGTCTGAAAATTCAGCCATTGAGATGGACCGTCAATTTGCAATACGAAGTGTGACCACAAGCTAGCATTTCCCATGAATATCTGTCCTCACATCATAATTGAGGGAAAACCTGATCATAAACATTTTTATAGACAAAGACATTTTATTTTACAGGAAATTCAGTCTTTGTATCTCAGGATGGAACATGGAGGACCTGATAAAGGCACTCACCTGTTTCTGTACAGTTGCCAGTGATTAGTCGTCCTAGTAAACTAAGGCATTCAGTATGCTTTGTCCTGCCACGTCTAATCTAATTCGTGTAATATGTTTAATTACACTCGGTGATTTTAAAGGTAACCGTCCTGTAGTCAGTCTATAGCAGATTTCATTACAGACAATAATATCCTATATGGCCAGAAAAATCCCAAAAATCAAATTTTCCGAAATTTGAGCTAGCCATGATTTTTGACTTTTGATGCAAACTCATTTCAAAGCATAATGGATATGTAAGCGAAGTGGAGTATATGATGACCGTGCTTCATAATTTGGGCGAGGTAATTACCAATGCTGCCATCATGTATCATGCACATTTCATTACTGATTCCATCCACAAATGAGAAATAAGGATTGTAATCTACTTAGTAAATTAACAATCTAACAGAAATCTAAATGAAACTCCGTACATTCATGATTTCGCATTTTTATTTTTTATGTTTTGCAGGTAGCTCTCGCTAAGTCACCTATTTATTTTGAAATCAACTGTCATGCAAATCAGACGTGTTTACTAATTTCAGTGCTTACGAAATATTTGTTGAATTCACATATAGAGTAAAAAGTCTTTATTGTATTAACTAACAATTACTGAAAAACACTGAATAATTGTAGAGTACAGAGTTCTAAAACGTCGAAATTGTAAAGCTAACTCAGACTTATGAATAAGTGGAGAGTAGTGAAGTAAACAAAATAAGCCCTAACTTTACAATCTTCATCGCCTGAAAATGTTTACATTGTCTCACTACTTATTGTATTTAGCGTTGAACAAAGTCCATTTTTCAAAAAAAATAATAATAATAAATAATCTACTTATCATAAGTGATTTGAGAATTACTTCTTTTGTAAACATTGAGATGTTAGCTCAAACGATTTGGCTATTCTTGTGCTTTACAGCATAGTGAAAATAATTAGTCAGTAGGAATCAACGATTGCCACAATTACTAAAGGTATCGTGTGTTGTATATTTTTCGCTAAATTTGAAATGTTTCTAGATGTTTTACTACGCCAATATGAATCATTTGACGTTCTGTCTTTAGTCTAGAGTTTTCTAGATTATATTTCTTTTAAAACAAAATACTCACATCCACAACTACTCTTTCCCCTTACGACTGACTATTTCAAAGTGTTTCCTTTAGTATGTAATGCTTATCACGTGATTTCATCGTCAGAATACATAACGTCGAATGAAGAGTCAACTAGCACTCGAATCCTATTTATGAGTGATAGAAAAACTCATGAAAAACCTCATTCAGAAGAAATTGTTGTGCAAATACAAAAATGAAAGTTTTAGTGCAGAAATATTAATTTATTCTATAAATTTAAAATGTAAACTATCAAAAAGTCAGGCAGTTACATGCACAATAAAATGTGTACGCAAGCACAAGTGAATATCCCTTGTCACAATATGATCGATAGTCCGATGCGTTATTCATGTTATTTCAATGAACTGGCAAAAACTAGAGCCATCTGAAAGAAAAAAAGTAACCGATAGAACAACATCATTTTTCTGAGTTCCAATCGAGTATATGCCTGTCTGTTGACTGAATATAAACTCCTGATTTACATTATTGAATAAAATCAACACTGAAATCTACAGAAAATGTGATTTGGAATTTTGTATTAACTTCGGCAACATCATGAAGGCTTGCCAAGGTAGACTTCGCCTCTGTTGCAAATTGTTTATGATTTTTCATCTCAAACCAAACACCACAGCTGATACATAAAGAAATTTCTAAATTCCAAAGTAAAACTGTGAACTTACTATAGCTACGGCAGTGTTCCAAAAGCCACCAGCCAATTCAGAATATTTCATCTGAAACGAGTTGAGATAAATTACACTCAGAATGTTGATCAAGGATTACAGGAGATTAAATGCACAATTCAAGTATTAGTAACATGTCAATGAAACTGAATGTTGTCAAATGAAACAAAACTACAAAATGTTTGTGTACAACAACGCAGCTTTCTGAAAATTTCAATGAATCAGTGAGATAAATTAGGGATCACTGAAATGCATCTTTTCACAAGAAATAAAGTTTAACATTTCTTACCACTGTGTAATAGGATTTTTCGTCATTATCAGAGATTTACATTGTGATTTTTATTTTACACATCAAAAAAGCATGATGCTGCTTCTCAGATGGGCAAATGTACTTCACTTATTGAAATGCTGCATTAATACCCCTACTTTCTCTTCCTTCGGTAATGCAAAGATGTACGGTCTCAAGAATACACAGATAAGTGTAAGGCTTAAATTCTATGTTAGTAATAATAAGATTTAGTTGATAATTCCAGTTATGTTAAATGCTAAAACGATAAAATAAAAAAGGATAATAGGAAATTTCAATGCACTTACGTCACTAAAGTATACATAAAACAAAACTGCTCCAGTTATCAGAAAAGTCGCCGATAAAGATTCCAGAACTATTATCACCACTAGTTTGAATCTTTTGACATAGATGCAGGCGATAATTGTTAACAAATCTTCCACAATAACGAAGGCCAATAAAAAGTAACATTTAAAATCAGGCTTTCGGCAACACATAAAACAGATAGCTCCAGACCATAAGACAATCTGTTGGCAAAATAAATTAGACAATCTGAACATCTGAGTTGAAATGTTCTAACATTTTTCCACAAAACTGACGTAAACATAGAAATTTCATATAAAATAACAGCGAATGTCAGTTGAATGTTCTTGCAGTGTTACTTTTAGTGGTGTGAAAAACCCGCATAGAAACTTAAATGTGAGTTTCGCGTTTATTGTGTGTGACCAACGGTGTATACCTGCAACCACAGAGGAATTAATGAATCCTCAGTATCTCGTATAAACCTAATGCATTGGTGTACAATGTATTTGTTTCTCGTTACATTTCGTGGTTTAGATGAGAAAATGTAATTTCTGTTGTTCTGTAAACTGCCAAAGCATCGGATCTATAATGGTGAATCCCGCTACACTTACTAAATGATATTCACACGTACACAGGGAGGACACATCGATCTGTGCAGGTAAGGGCTAAAGAACACATTCCTTGATAGCTTGAAGAATAGATAACAATCATGATTTTAAACACAATCCACTGGACAAGTTTCATGTTGTGCTTTAATTCAGTGACGTTGGTAACACCTAAGGTGTGGAAACTTACATCTATCCGACAGTTTTGAAGAAAGCTACAAATTTCAGTCCGCAATTTTAGGGGTATGACGTACAAGATGAAGTCAAACAAAGACTTGATAAATCTACAAGTAGAATTAGTTGTGCTGCGAAACTCGTGTACATTGACTGCACCAAGTGACTGCTTCAACAATCTGGAAAAGAACTGTCGCCAATCTTCAACACTTCGAATTGTGTATATCAACTTGAGCGTGTTTGTGGAAACACATAAATAGGTCGTAGGAGGAGGCGATTACCTGTTTGCATAATGCAGCTTTTGGTAGAGTGACTGAAATCACCTGCAGTCAAGGTATCAAAATGTCCAATAATAAAGAATTTCGTAGACTGGAGACATGATACTAACTCTATCAAGTGGTTCACTTCTGTCATTAAACGAAGTGAAATAAGTACAAGTGTGAAGGAGTGTGAAATTGTGGTTCGTTAACTTAGCTTCCGTGTACAGAAAGAAATCGTGGTCACTCTGAATCCACTACGTCAATTCACCTTATTTATTACCTGTTGTTATTATTGTTAATAATTTATTCTACCTCATTATTATCCTTCATTCGTTTGAAACCATCCTTTATCAGTAGTGGTATCTTAAGTCGTTTTAATATTCATATTTTTGCCATTAATATTATTATCAATGTAATGGAGTTTGCTGTTCCACCTCAATTTGATGAATTTATCAAGTTCTGCTTTATTCACCTTTGTTGCTTGCTGAAATTTAATCCAGTTTTGAGTGAATATCAACAATAGAAACAAAATTATCTCGAGGAAACGAAGCTAATTCATCAACGTGAATCTCTGAGGAACTTACTATGAATCCTATCAGGATCAACGCAACTTTTACATTATTTGTGTATTTGAAGAATAGCAATGTACACAGGATCATAGTCAATACTCTAAAATACAAAAGGAAAACAGCTATAATGAATTCCTAAGGATGAAAGTAGTTTTCTATATAACACCATTCAATAGCCCTACAGTCATCATTCCTTGCTAGTTCATACTTTTATCCATGCAGATAACTTGCTGTTTAGAGAAGCAGGAATGTCCACACATTTGGAACGGTTGAGGAATCATTCCTAGTATATACTCACTCGTATGATTGCAAAACTGAAGCACTGCTTAAGCGTCTATTGGTCCGATACATTATTTAATATCAGATGAACTCAGTTAAGCTATACTGTTCAAATATTCCAAAAAGGTTCAATTTGTTACCTTTCGAAAGTTATCAGTTACTCGAGGTTCAATAAATCCTTTACAATCCAAAGTATTAATTGCTTGCCTACTAATACTACTTTAGAAACGAAAGCCTAATATTTGTCCTGGGGAAAAGAATTTTCGATCGTGTTTGTACTCTTTCTGTTTGTTTTTCTTGTTATTAACAATATTATACAGAGCCCGGTAATCGGAATAGTGTTCACTCAACTAGCATCTCAACGCAGGTACAACTGATGAATTACTAAATATTTATTCACGTGGACTTGAATTCAAATATTAGTTCTTTTGCATAACTGTAATCAAACCAATATTCACAGCAAACAGATGGGCATAATGTTATATCATCGCCGGTAGACCTTGACGATGCCACACATTCGATTAAGACAGTGTCTACGTAAACAAGAAAATACTTCAAATCAGTAGTAGTCAGTAGTTTGTTTGATTCTTTGCTCTATTATTTTTATTTATTATAGCTTGATTCCACACCGTATTTTTGCTACATGTATGAAATTTTCAGCGTGTTATATCGCTAGCCCAACTTCAAAGGCTGACCATTGATATCGGGTGTGCGTTGGTAGGGGGTCTTACTTCATACCATATGTATGGTCGACGGCAATCTTAACCGTTGGGCCACCCACGCACACCATCATTTCAAGATTTGAGTTTTGAGGTTATAATCACGAAGTGATGTGAACGTATTTTAAGTCATTTACAGTTATTAGTGTTATTCTGAAAGATTACGGGAATTGAAGACTTACAGACAAGCGATTGCTACATAAGCCTTCCATTCAGTAGCAAAACTTTCGTACGCCTGAAGAAAAAATATTTATTAAATGTCAGTAAAAATTCTGATATCGTTCATATGTAACTGTTTCTAAACAAAATCAAGAAAGCTATTTTGAAGCGTTGCCCACAGTGGTTACACATTTTGTGACTGTTGATTTTAGATAGAACCAATATGTCCTAATTTCTCAGCATGAATGATTTAATGCATAAACATTGCCTAGATATATGAGCGATGACATCGATGAATATTTTAATTGTGTGACAATTTCATATCGTAAAATATTCAAAAGTTGGAGTCGATATCAAACAAGAAATAAGATTGAAATATCTCAGAGACATAAAATTGGTCTGAAATAACTTTCGGTAAACAGGTGGAAACATGACAGCCTCCAGCGTGTAAATTGACAGTTTTCATTCATCATAACAGTTTTTCTAAAAGCCTGTCCTCACATATGCACTATGTTCGGAATTGCAATCATTAATGGGATGTGTCAATAAGATCCCTAAGAAGAATAAAAAGGCGTAAATCAACAGATTCTCTGATGTTGTGATGACTGCTCAATATACATATCAAATATTAAACCTCAGAAACCATGAAATCATGAAATAAGAATGCCTAAGATTAAACGAAGTATGCAGTCATTGATGACAAGAAAGTGATAGTAACTACAAATCATAAGAACTGAAGTGCTTACCTCTAAAATAACAATCATCTTACACCAGACGCTATGAAATGGACTTACATCATTGCTCAACTTATATGTAAATATATATTCACCTAATTCTCTGAACTTTGTCTCAAACTTTGTTTACATTCATGGTGAAGTGTTTATTAACTGGTAATAAAAACTTCAGTGCACATAGAACTTGTTTATATTCAGAAGTAAAATCAAGTCGTGTAATGCATGTTTATTTAATAATTTAAATCACGACTGAAAATATTTTTCTACTATCAACCAAGTGGCTAATTCATAGAACAATTGAATATTGAAAAAGTTAAAAAATGATGAAGTTACATTGACTTTATTCGTGTGATAGTTTCCTTCATGATGTACGTTTACTGGATGACTGTGTTTCGAGTCGTTGGTGCGTTTATTTTCTACTGTATTTACAATGAACTCTATACTGAACAGTTTCTGCTCCAATCTTTGGAGATCCTGTAATACCTTCAACTACATTTTTCAGAGTAATCGTCATTTTCGTCTCATCGATAATTAGTCAGATGAACATTTTCTTTGGGCTGTGAAATCCACTAATATTCCTACTTTCACAGTGAATAATTTAAGTATTCTTCAAAATATTGAAGTAAAACTTCAATTAAATATATATGATAAAAACACTATGTTACGGAATTCAAGAATGAAGTGGGCTGTTCACTAAATATTTCACAATAATTAAGCAGATTCAGGCCTTACACGTTTCTTATCAGATGAAATGTGTGTCATAAGATGTATCGCAGAATATCTACAATAAGTCGATATACCAAAAAAATCTTTATGGCCACTATTATTACTTCATGCTGTTATGAAGGAAGAGAGCTTTGTAAAGGGAGAATAGCCTGGAGATAAAAAACAATTTCAGCTAATTTTATTTATGTTGACTCTAATAAACGTACGTTTAGTTTACATCCGATAATTTTGAAGCAATATATGTTACTGCTTTGCTCTTCATCTCTAGTTCAATGGTCAGTTGTTGGCGTACTTCTCATGCATTTTGAAGTTAATGTCAACAATTTATTCATCCCTTCAAAACACATTTATAACCTGTTGCAGAGGTACTATTCAACTGAAATAAATGGAATATATGCTAATTGTAGAGAATAATTATATGCACTGATGATTTTCATGAAAAATGATGTAAGACTAACACCTTCAGGTAATGATTGATGAGTGTAGTCTCAAATTTGTCTCTAAATTGGAGTTGATTTGCGAATGCTGACAACCGTAAATCAGAAAATTTGTGATGCATAAAGGCGATTGTAAATAAGGATATATTGTTCTTCCCAAACTACGCTTTTCTTCAATCACCAAATGGATTTACTGTAATATGTGATCAAATTACCAGACGGCTAGCACGAGCTTCCATGATAAGCATTACATACTAAAGGGAACATTTCGAAATAGATAGTGATAAAGTGAGAGAGTAGTTGCGGATATGAGTATTTTGTTTTAAAAGAAATATAATCTACAAATATCCAAACTAAAAACAGAACGTGAAATGATTCATATTTGCGTAGTAAATCCTCTAGTAAAATTTCAAATTCAGCGAAAAATATCCAACACAGGATATCTGTATGATACTTTTTGTCAGTGTGGCAATCGTTGATTCCTACTGACTACTTATTTACACTATACTGTAAACCACACGAATACCCGAATCTTTTGAGCTAACATCTCAATGTTTACAAAAGAAATAATTCTCAAATCACTTATGAAAATTAGATTTATTGTTATGGTATTTTTTATAATGGAATTTGTTCAACGCTAAATACAATGAGTTGTGAAATAATGTAAACATTTTCAGGCGATGAAGATTGTAAAGTTAGGGCTTATTTTGTTTACTTCACTACTCTCCACTTATTCATAAGTCTGAGTTAGCTTTACAATTTCGACGTTTTAGAACTCTGTACTCTACAATTATTCAGTGTTTTTCAGTAATTGTTAGTTAATAAAATACAGACTTTTTACTCTATATGTGAATTCAACAAATATTTCGTTTATTAATGACGAAATTCAAAGTCTAATATTGAGTAAACACTGAAATTAGTAAACACGTCTGATTCGCATGACAGTTGATTTCATAATGAAGCTGGATTTAATTTAAAATGAGGGTTACTCAGTGACTTGTAATATTCAGTGTAAAATGAATTACACAACCAGTGATATTAGGAAGGGAGATAAAATACAGTACTACAAGGGGGCATAGAGTGTGGTCAAATGAAATTGAGACAGAAAATTCGTCTATCAATCCACTTCCTTTTCGTTAACACCTGGAAGTCTGAAGTACATGTAATTTCACATCTCAGGATAAATTTATCTGATCGAAGCACCCAGTGATGCAGTATTATACATTCACAACAATTCGAACACAATAAAATGTTCATAATCGTATCAAGGCAATAATTAAAATGATTTTCAAACTTTGTTTACAAAATTTCCTTGTTTAATACCTTTTGGTGTAATTGTTATTGATACTCTCACATTTCTGGGATTAACATTTGGTTTTTCATATTGCGCATTGTTAGGTGTAAATTCGATGATAAAGATTCAGTGTCCATCATCTCACTCAACCTACATATATTGCATTTCACAACTGTACTGAAGCTTTGTTTATCAAATCAACTCCGCACTCTTGCAACCGGAATGACACAACGCCTTTACCGGAGATATGAGAAGTGACAAAAACAACAAAAAGAAATCGAAGAGATGAAGAGAAAGAAGCTATAAATTAGACGAAATATAAAGACATGTGATTAAATTGAAAAGATTTTGAGGGATAATTTATGCTGGAAACGTCATCCAGTTGCTAATGCTGCGTCACTTTGTGATTAATAATAAAATGAGCTTAACTACCACAGTGCCCAAAGTTCAACACTTGCATCAGCAAACACATTGTCCGAATTCGCCTCACCATTTTTAGTCGCGCTAACACCTTTCTTTTACGTTTTCACAAGAGGAACGATTTCTAACAATCATCGTACCAGATGGTTGGAGGCAACCGGCAGGAATTCTGTCTGCACCGAAGATAGGATGAGACACATTACACTAGTTACTGACTAGTCTTCAAACAAAAAAGTCATCTTACCACATTTCAGAAATTTTGGATTGCACTGGCGGGTGACTTTCGGAACACTGCTGTAGATTTAGTAAGTTTGAAGAGATTACCATCTTATCTATTTTCGAAACGAATGTCAGTTATGCCATAACCTTTCTCTTCAATAAATCACTGCCATCATACATTTCAAGTCATTAGCCGCATCCCTAAAACAACTATGAATCACATTGAACGCATCTAAAATTGTACTGGTTGAATTGTCAGATTTATTTTTAATGACAAAAAAAGGTTAACAAGCTGATCAGAAAGTAAATAGTTCTCAAACCATAGCTGTTGTTTTATTTTTTGTAGGCAGCGCTGATTATCTCAGATTTCCTCAAATGAATATATCAAATCTGAACTACGCGAAAACACATCTTCAAATTGTTCATCCGTACTTAATTTATTATGCTAACATATCTGTCAAAATATGCATGTTACATATTGATTTTATGACAGTTGCTTTTTGAAATTTTTTCAATAAATAATATCACAGCAAAACTTGCAGCTTCATTTGCATACCACTAGTTTCATAGAAGAGTAAAAGTCTTGTGAAATCTTAGCTGGAGCAGTGTTTAATTGTTTTACCCGGAGGAAAATGATTGATACGCAACCGGTCTCAGGATCAAACGTTAACGTTTCAAACTGTTGAACAGAACAGTTGAAGGTGACGTTTTTGACTAATAAAAGCCTGAAAAGACAACACAATATTTTGAAAGATAATTCAATCGGATGGTGAACGATGAGTATAAAGTAAACTAATGAAGAACAGTTAACTCCCATCCAAGGATGGATTCTGAACAGATAAATCACTCACTTTCAGGTTTTTTAGTATTTTACTGGTAACTATATTACACACAAAATAAATTCATATTCGGCACGTTAGGAGCGATTGACTATGTATTCACTGTGACAACAGCAAAATTGTAAACATGAATTTAAAAGCCACTGGTTATCGACGCATTAGGACTTTTATCCTCTCAGTATTATGTAAAGGTTAAGACATGTGCAAGACAGGCGTTATCATAGCGTTTCTATTCCAGCTGGGACAGAATTCACTATTCATCAGTATGTTGCTAGAAATTGTTGACAGTGTGCACATTAGGCTTTGAAGCTATGGATTCATTTAGGCCAGATGTGAGGGAATGAATTATGATTCCTAATAGCCCGTCTTTACAATGACAGGCTGATAACTTACAAAGACTCGTTATAAAGTATATTTTAACTATCTGTCACCAACAGAGGGCAGCGCGTGACAGTGTCTATTTTGGACTTCAAAAGCAACAGTTCAGACTTATTCAGTTCAAATATTCTCAAATAAATTCTTCTGTTTCATTGAGGCTCCGCGCAAGGACGCATGCAGAACTCTGAACTTTCTACAATCAACTTTGTACTAAAATATTAAAAAACATTAACACTAACTTCAGTGAGCATTGTTGGTAGTAAAACAATCATTTTCTTCAACAACTTAGATTGTGCCTTAGTAAAAGTATGGTCATTAGATAGTAATCAACGCGGATTTCAACACTGCGAAGCTCATCGGACAAATTTCCATGTGCAAGCTCTTCAGGGCTATTCTTCGAATCTTCGACAATCAAGCATTTTTCTATCTGCACTGATGTTTCTGTTCGAAAACAACACAAGAGGCACAAAAATGCAGACTTCAGGTAAAAGACTTTATATGGTTCCCTAGCTATTTGTGAAAATATTCTACTCTCATTCTGAGAATGTCGAAATACGTGATGTGATATCATACGTTGCTTGAACTTTGCTTAGTTGACATCCATGCAATGAATCTCTTATAGATCTTCGGTTAAATTCACGTTAATGTATAGCAACTAGGTTCAAAATAAATAACTAACTTAACTCAGGTTCTGTGTTAGCCTATCCTGGTGTGAAATCAGTAAATATGCACATCACATATTTAGAATATTAAGATTGCATGGATGAAATGTGGTACCGTCAGTTCGAAATTCTCACGGTTCTTCTTCATAAGTGAACAGTATTTCTATAAACCTGATATCAGAACTGCGTATTTTCA